CACCAACACAAAGGTATGGAAACTGGGAAGAAACTAATTAAATAGCGCGGCATAAAGTTACAATGTTCTAAAAATGAGCTTAATGAAAGTGGTGTAATAGTGATATCGCGATAGGAAAAGCTAAGACAGCCAAAATGATAGTAAAAATAATATACTAATGATGATAGGAATAATAATAGTAGTAAAAACGAGTAGCTAAGATGGTCTAAAGAATAGAGTCTACATTGTTCGAAACAATATAATAATAAGTTGAAAACTAGTTACACCCAACTCCTTATAACAAATTTAAATTAAAAATGCCAGTTTTGCATGGTGTACCAGAAAAAAAAATAAAATAGTATATGAAAATTAAAATATGAATAATCATCAGGAATTTTAAATTGAATCTAAATATTATTGAATAGAGCTAAAACAAACTCACAACAGCATTTTAACGCATAGAAAAGTAATTATCTGAATCCCAAAACCGAGTATTAATTGACGAAGAGTAATTTGGTATCGCTTCAATGACCAAGAGTTTGTTAAACTTAGGTAAAAATTTAATTAATTACAAAAGGTCCACAAAGGACTATTTGAGATACGCAGAAATGAAAGCAGTTTGCCGGTGCAGTGCATCAAACAATGGTTCTCCCCAATATATGGCATGTAATCACCCTATTTCTTTAATGTGATGAAGAACTGGCAGTTGAATTTTTCCACAATAATATGAGTATAGCTTACGTTCCCATTGAACTTCACATAGCATTGCTTCCCGAAAAGTTATTCTCATCAAAAGTGGACTGCAGTTTCGATCTCACCTAAACTAGTCTCATCGGCGCCCCCAACGGGTCGAGAACCATGATAGTGCAGTGTATAATCCCGACATTTTAATCAATACGCTAAACTGCCACGAGTACCTTTGGGTCACAGGGTGGATACGAATCTCTAAAAGTTCTGGACATTTTCTAAAGCCTGACAACTAAAGGTAATCTCTCGGAATTCCTAATATAAATTCTGGATAAAAAATGATTTAGATCTCCCAAAGCTGAAGATAGCTTCGCAAGAAACTAAATCATTTTAACAGGTATTGAAAAATTAAAATAAAGATGTTTTGAAGCTTTTTTCATTAATAATGCATAATATTTACTAGCTTGAATGCAAAAGATCAACAATATGTGTTTCCGATCGTCCAAGAAAAGACTTTGGCATGACAACTAAAGCAGTGAACATTTAATCAAGAGGGACGAGAAAAAAGAATTTTAATACGCTTTAAAGTTAGGGTTACTTCTAGAACAAGGCCTTAACAAATACGTTTTCTAATAGGAAACTGCGCAACCAAAGTTTTAGCTATAATTATTTGATCGCCTGTAAACCATCTCGAATACAGTCTAGCAATGTATAAAAGTATATTGTAAGTTTAAAAATATTCGTTTAGGATTTAAAACATCAGTCATGCCTGTGTCCATGCTTACCCTTTAACTTAAAAAAGAGTATATAGATATACATGAACACCAAAAAACAGTTGATCACAAATAGCAAGAACTAATCCAAAGGAAATCACGAGGCACATTTACGTATATGTTTATCGTCTTGGAATGATACCTCTTAAGATATATTTCTCCAGATATCCATGCAATTAGAATCCCAAGTTCGAAGCTTTGGCGATAGAAACTAGATGCTACAAGTAGCTTGAAGCAATAATATGTTAGGAGTTAACGCAATGATAGGATGATAAGGAAATGAGCGAAGTCAAAATCACTGTACAGTGGTAGGAAATGATGAAATTTGCATACGAGTCTGGTCTTTCTCAAATTCAGAATAGATAGATCTTGGACCACGAATGCGGATTGCAATAACCATGTGCAACTCTGGCCCCAAATATCTATTCAGTAAGTCCACACAAGAAAACAAATTAATGATAAAAGTCATGAAATCTGTAACATCCGCCAGCGACGTCTACTGAGTTTATTAACATGCGGAAATCCTTAATAAATGTTTATTCGAAGCAATTTCAGGAATAGGAAATATTTTGTGTAACTACAAGGTTGATGCATGATAGTTGTGCTAATAGTGAATGAAGTGGAGGAAATAGAGACAGTTGAGCAAGACAAAGTTTCGACGCGTTCTGATATGGCTTGAGTAATTAGTAAACAACTTCGAGAGGAATCTTCTCTCCGATTGAAATGGTTCTAGTTAAGATGCAATTGTTGCTTCGAGGTTTACAGATGGTATACGATTGAGATAAGAGAAAGGCCAGAGAGGAAGAAGAAAGTTCTCTGTAACCAAACAGTGACTCTGTTTATAAACTTAATTCAGGCTCATTAAGGATAACATAGTAGGTTCTTAAACCGGATACCTGCTGTGGATTTGGCAAATTTTTGTAGAACCCCTTTTATTCTGGATTCCTACTTCTGGGGAATAAATAGAAATAAAACTAGAGTCCTAATGGTACAGTCCAACTTAGCTTATATCCATATAATAGGGCCGAGAAGTTGTGCAGCAAAAATCAGTATTTACTGTAAGATTATCTGTCAAACCGTGATGGACAAGATTAAAAAGTATATCCCGATATGCGACACTAAAGAATTGAAGATAAAGCTGTGGTTTAGATTTGTGGGTGAAGAATGCTGATGAGATGTAATGCGTTGCTGTCGTAGAGCAGGGTGCAGACCAGGCTAGTGAAAGACCGCCTCAAAAACGGCATTTAAGTGCTGCGAAGGATTTCCATTAAATACCAATGTTTTAAGCATAAAAAGGTAGCAGGTGCAAGTTCTGAACAAAAGTTAGCTTTACTCGGGCACTCAGAGTTTTCTTTAAAAAAAGCAATAAATATAAATTTGTTAAAAAGATTAATTGCTGATTAGTCAGGGCCTGAGAGAAAATATTAAAGGAGACAAGAATCTATGGGAACAGGTGAATGTACAAGATAGGTAACAAGTGGATTTGTGTCAAGGGCACCCGAAAAATTTCCATCGGTATCAACTCAAACTAGCAGAGAATCAAGAGTATAAGTACATATAAGCAGGTTAATCTAATGCGTTTCCGATTGCTCCTATATGGAGTTTGGCGTTAGAAGCCGGTTGCGGAATGAGGATTCCAAGGCCGAGAACCAGCTAGGAGTTTGGGATGTTAGGGAGAGGCAGGTAGGGCTGCCGGGCCATATGATGTAATCGAGAGACAATGAAGAGGTAGGGAGAGAAAAAAGAGCAGCTGGAGAGAAAGACAGGTTCATAAAACACAGAAATTTTGGGTCAAAAGCAATAGGGAAGACAAAGAAGCTAGAAACGGAGGGAAAATAAACATGGGGAAATAATGTTTTAAGGAGTGGGAGGTGCGATAAGGCGTGAGTTAAGGACGCGTGTTTATGGGGTGGGAGCGAAAGAGGGAAAGGCTGGACTGACTTGCTCGTTATCATCAGTCTATACTCCGATTAAAGATTGGCCAGGCTAAAATCAGAGCAGAGACAGACAGACACACACACATACCATGTAACTAGGGCAAGTGGTCAATGTGGTTGATTAAAACTGGCTGCGGAGCACGAGAGGGTAGGCGGAATGAGGCGAAAAGTAGAGGCCAAGAATGAAAAGCTGAGAGAACGCGGTTGAACCGGAGGTTGTTGTGCCGAGACCAACTTAAAGGTTTGGTAGCGGTTTCAAAAACAAGAGCTTACAGCACTCACGCAAAAAGCAAATTTACTAAACCCCATACATAAACAATGAAAGGTGAGACAGACTACTCGCGCTATGTGCACAAGTGCCTCCGCCGACTTCCACAGGCCTACAAAAGCGAGAATATGCGTTATCGCGTGGTCCTAGAGGCATCACAATCAGGAGGCCCAACTATGGCAGAAGCAAAACGCAACGATGGTGTCTTGCGAATGTCCTTTATGAATAAAAACAGACAGTGACTAGTCGTAGTAGCCGTGAGGAGGGGCGGCACACAATTGTCCGTCTGGCGTAGATAACCACATGGAATCATACTATAGGGATATCACTTGACCCTTATCCCCCTTAGACAATCAGGTTTCACAACACGTAACTTGATGATGTATTAAAGTAAGTTAACCGGGCTCGACTTGTTCGTAAATATATCAATGCATATGCTAATAAACATATATGCATACTAGTATGTATGTGTATGTGCAGGTGTGTGCATGTATACAGACATACGGACTTCTAGAAGGCGAATCCTAGCGATATATACCTTCGCAGACATTCACACACACACACGCACACACACACACAAGTATATAGACGATGAGGGCAAAGATATACAAAAGAGAGGACGCATCTAAAAACAAGACGCATCCCCAGCTGGAAGTCTGCCATGGGGCCTCCTTTGGCCGAATAAGCGATTTGGGCTTCTTCCGAAGCCAGCCAATATTGCTTGTCATTATATCAGCTCACTTTTGCTGCAGAAGCACCTTATAAGGCCTCCCTCTATTATCTCAATGCCTTTCGCGGTCGACTTCCTCTTGTTCTTACTCCCCTCTAGCCCCATCAACTATTGCCTGCTGCCTTACGCCCTCCAGTCTGGTTTTGCCAATCAAGATGATATAGCCACTAAAGCATACAAAGTCCACCAATAAGTAATCAAGTAAATGAATAGACACAAATAAAGTATCTGAAAATCTGACAGGCCAGAGGCCTCTACTTTATACATATCTTAAGACTGGACTAGACTTGGACCCAGGCCCGGTAGGAGAACGGAAAATGGTGGAGTATCGATTGCCACAAAGGTGGAGTGGGATAGGAGTCAGAGGGCGGAGTAAAGGATATAGGAAGGCTGTATAAGCAGATCGCAACAGGCGGTCATGGTGATAGTAACGAGAGGCACCCAGAAACAAACAAATCGACCGTCCTAGCTCCCACTCTGGACAAAACACACAGGTGACTGAGACATAGGAAAGTAGGGACTGAATAATCAAGATTGGTCAATGAAGAGAGAGAGAAACTTCGCATAGCAGTGAATGTGTGTCCGTGACTATGTATCACCCACCCACCCAGGCCCCACCACATCTCCTATAAATACATTTAAGTTTATTGACTCGGCAATGCCGATTTCTGTATACAAATGTTTGTGTTGGTATGCCACAACTTTAAGATAGATTAACAAAATGGGTCCACTTGATCTCGCCTCTCGACTGGTCCAGATGATCTTTGTGGCAGTTCAGGTGGAATCCGAGTGGATAAAGGCTGGACAGCCTCTTGAGCCCAGCAAAGGAGTAGGCCAGGACTGTTTTTCAGACGGCAGATGGAAGGAATGAGTAAACTGGCTTCATCAGAAGCGGTAGGGCCACCTTGAAATTTTGAGTGCAGATTTGTGCATAAAAGTCTTCGGCACACCGCCCCGCAAGACGGCTTTCGTATGTCACATAGTAAAAGAGATCGTCAAAGCACGAAACCATGTCTTACGAAGGTTCACCAAACACTAGAACAAGAAACCCTACTTTTATTCATATATCGTGTCACACGCCCGTGACAAGCAGGTCTTTCCTGATGACATCTTTCGGTTAAGCAACAACTTCAATATCGTGTAGAGCAGGTAAGACTACATGAAAGATGCGAAAATGGTTTTGGACATGTGAAAAAGGCTGCAGGATCATTCCTTGCAGGCAAGCACAACCTAAGTAAGACGACCTGAATTGTAATGGAGACACTTTTAATGTCTCAGCCAGTCTACCAAAAGAGAAACAACAAAAAGAAATGCAACAGTTAGACAGATACGGAAGACAGCCTGATCCTAGTAAGACTATGATACAGAAACTAGGATACGAACACGAGACCGCTGAATTAGTTTCTCTTTCCTACAATCCAGATGTAAATATTGAAATAATTCCACTCGAAACTCTCGAGAGGTTCAGTGCAACTGCCTTCTAGAACTAATTACTTTCTTGAGTAGGAACAAAAGAGGGGTCTACTAATACAAATCTCGATGCGTTTTACGTAAATTAAATAATCTTTTTAAATTGTCGGTAGAGTCGTAATAAGAACGAACCTTAATCGCCCTAGGTAGCTTAAGGTGAAATGAAGACTGATGAAAGAATGTTTCACAAAGAAATAAGAAGGCCTTGCTATTCTACTAAATTTAATTTCGTCTTGCCAACCTAACGGTTTCTTCAACAGATTGGATTGAAAACATGACCTTATCTGTATCTCAGTATTACTCTAGGCGGGATTCGAAACCAGCACAATTGAAGACGTTAGTATATACTGAATGAGTCAGTTTATAAACCATCGGCAGTTCTAAGAGAATAACTTGAGTAAACGATTGAGCCTTTTTTGAGATAAGGTGCATTTTGTAGAGAATTCGACCCCCGACCCTTAGATCTCTTTAAACGGCCCAATGACTCAAGGACTTATTCAAAATTTCTTGAAAGTTTTTAGGGCCTGCCAATTCAGAATAAAGTAATATACTAGATTTTAGTGGCATATATAAGTTGATCCCATCAGCAAATTTTGTGAATTGGGAGGGGCCTGGCTTGCCTTGAAAATCGTATTTCCTCTGTGACCTACTAGCAGCTGTGGATGTGTGGCAGAGTGAGGACGCGTTACCAATAGAATGCTC